TTTTTAATAATGCAGTCATGTGATTTTACTCTCTTGTACACATCACCTCCTAAAAAAATTGCTCGGGTTCAAGGTATCTCAACTCCGAGTTGCCTGTGACTATGGCTACTGCTGCTTCACTACTGATACTGAGTTATGAGTTAGATTATATTCACTGCACTCCGAACACATCCACAGGCGCTCAGATTCCTCTCTCAACATATTCATCAGTGTCGCGCGGTTAATAGTGCCAGTCCTGTGTTGGTTAACAAGACTTCGTGTGAGTGTGCTTCTCATGCTTGGCTGTGCCTATCTTTACTCCCAGTTCTCGTATTCTTAGCAGTGACGTGGACAAGTTGTTTCCAAACTCCTCAGAACGTCCTATCTCTTTAAGGGCAACGACATTGCCTGCGTGATCCATTTGCCAGCTATCTTTAAATAATGCAGAACCTGCCAGTCTATCAGCTCTTTTGTTACCAACAACGCCTGCATGATCTATGACGAATATGAAGGCAACTGCACACACAGGAGAGTTTTACTACTCATACTGATGCTATAAGCCTGCATCAAACTGTTGCTGCTGCTCCATCCTTCGCTCATTAAAACACAATTCACCAAGATGTGAACGATTACCCAAGACCGTCCGATAGGAAAGTGCAGGGGCCAGGACACAAAGGAAACATCGCGGGTATTCAGCTGGGGGAGGGGCTGGGTCGGTCAGCGCCCTATTACTTTACCAAGTCGATCGAGTGGGGGGGGGGGGGGGGGGGGGCGGGTGGAGGGGTGGCGTTTGAGGTGTGGTGAATTATGGAGCTCAAGGGAGCCTCGGTCTTATTATGCCTCTAATTAGATCACGACCCTAGTTGCCTGGAACAACTCTCTTGATGATATCCCTCAATGCCATCGTTTCAGCACATCCAGCATCATCTCTCTCGGTCTGCCTCTACCTCACTTTCCACTTATCTTTCCAGTTGTCACAATGTATTCCATTGCCACTCTTCTCATTAAGTGGCCAAAGAACAGTGCTTGTCTTTCCGTTGTTGTAAACAGAGATCTGCTTTCATTAGCCCTCTTCAAACATTCGTTGTTAGTGACTCTGACCCTCCAAGGTATTCGTAACATTCGTCTCAGAAACCACATCTCTGTTGCTTCCAAATTCTTCTTACTATATTCACTGACATTCCCTCCAGCAGAACAGGTTCTGTGTAACAATTTAGCACTCTCTTTCTGACATTAAACGAGATCCACTTATTGCAAAAATATATTTTTCATTTTCAGAAATTCAGTCTTCGCTTGACCTTTTCTGCTTTTAATCTATGTCACATATTTTCCGTCTGATGATTTGACTGTTCCCAGATATTTGAATTTATTGACTTCTTTAAGCCTTTTTCCTTCAGTTGAGAAATCACAATGTGGTGTTATCTTTTTTCCTTGAAATCATCATTACTTTCGTTTTTAATATCCAAGGAAAGTCCGTTCTTAGCACTCTCCATCCTCACAATATCCAGCATCTGTAAATCAGTTGATCTTCAGTAATCAAAACCGCATCGTCTGTGTAACGCATATTGTCTATATTGCGTCCTTAAACTCTTTTTCCTGCTTTTGCTTTAATTTCTCTCAGAATTATTTTACTATATAAAGAAAACAGGTCTGGGAATAAGACACATCCCAGTCTTTCTCCTTGCCTTATCTGTTCGAAAGTGCCCAATCTGTTTCCCACTTTAGTTCTTGCTACTTAGTTCCAGTAACTGTTTTTATTTATTCTGAAGTCTTTCCCGTCTACACTGATGTCTTCCGACATTTTTATCAACTCCTCATGTTTAACTTTATCAAATGTTTGGATATAATATAATTTACAAAGCACACACATAAGTCCTTTTTACGTCCATTGACCTTTCTATTAATGTTCTTAAGGTGTATATTCCACCACTTGTCCCTTTACCTTCCATATTCTTTTCTTATTTCCGTTGGTATTTTTTCTTCTTATTTTTATATTTTTAATTCTAAGTAGTAACTTGGTGAGATTATTTGTTAAACTGACTGTATGCAGTTTTTCACATTCAATTGCTCCTGGTCTTTTAGGTAACACAACAAACACAGATTTCATCATATCATTTGGTATGTACCCAGTGTTATAAATCGCATTTATCAGTTTAGTTAATATTTCTACCCCAAATTCCCCCCAGCACGTCTAATTCTTCTTCCGAAATTGCATCTGGCTCTTCTGACTTTCCTTTCTTCATATGTTTAATAGCATTGCTAACTTCTTCCTTTGGTATAGACGGACCTTCTAAATTTCCTTCTTCTGGAAATTCTGCTCTCTTTCCATGATATAACTCTCTTATGTATTTATTTTATCTTATTATTATAGCATCTTCTTCCATTAAGATCTCTCCTGCTTTTGATTTCAGACATCCTGTGTTTACTGTTATCCTTTTTTCAGCTAGATCGCTGATCCGCTTGTACACACTTCTTGCATCTTTAACATTGTTCATTTAGCCAATCTTTTTTTGCCTTCATACACGTATTCCCTATTTCTTTATTTATCCCGTCATATTCTTCTTTGTCATTCCTACGTTGTTGTTTATTCTGTCACCCATTAGCTTTAAGATTTCCTTCGTCATTCATTTTTGTTAAGCTACCTGTCCTCTTCCTGGTAAAATCTCTTTGTTTGTTTGGTGGATTGAGTCTTTCGGCATTTCTCACTGATCGTTTATCGTTTGTATTATAATAGAATAAATAATAATAATAATAATATTAATAGTATTAATAATATTTTTTATATAGTAATAAAAAAAAATTAAGTTAGTTGTGTTCTTTACAGAACGTTGCAGAACCAACACTTAGAAATTTTTGGCTGTTGTGGTTTTTCTAGTTAAATTTACCTTTAGTAGTTTGCCATTGCAATTGTAATAAAGGCAAACAAATATATATAATAAAACACGAAAGTGTCAAAAAGTCTTGAAAAATAACTGTTATGCGTGGTTATGGAAGCCATAATAAAACTATATTTTGGGGGGGGGGGGCTGAGGGTGGGTGGGGAGGGGGTTAGAGATAAGTTACCACCAATACGTTGCCAATCAAAACATTGTCTGTCTGTTGATTATATACAAAGTCATCTGCAGTCCAGTGTAGGCGGGTCATCAAATTTCAAAATGTCCCAAGTTTGTGCCAACTATAGACGTAGGCTTGTTGTGGTTGTTATTTACACCTCACAGCAATCATTTGTTCCTTCCCACGACACCCATGTTGGTTTGCCCCAAAGCGCAATGGCGCCGTTTCTGTGAACAGCAAACATTGGTCTTGATTGGGTATTAGAATCCGCACTTATGTTTTGGCAACCGGTTAGATTATCCGTTTCCTTGCGGGACTATTGCTTTTATAGTGCAAATACTTGTTCGAACTTCTAATCAGCAAATTAGAGATTGTGTATTTGTTAATTTATCTCTGCGCGTATCATAGCTTGTTCATTGTTGTGATTGATCGACCATTAATATTTTCATTCTGTTCTATGATTTAAGTTTGGGGAGGAAGTTAGAGTGCCTGCGTCATAAGGCTAAATAATTCATCCTAACGGTGTGAAGTTACACACACAGAGAAAAAACATCAAACAGACAAAGACTGTGCTGGTGAAACGATTGAAACAGCAAGCTTGTTTTGTTGGTGGTGGTGGTTGTGGTAGTGGGGGTGTTATTGCTGTTGGTGATGGTGGTGAAAGAAGTGATGGTGGTGGTATTGGTAGTCGTGAAGGTAGTGATTGTGTTGTTGGTTTTTAAAAATGGTGGTGAAGGTAGTGATTGTGTAGTTGGTGGTAAAAATGGTGGTGAAGGTAGTGATTGTGTAGTTGGTGGTAAAAATGGTGGCGAAGGTGGTAGTGCAGGTATTGATGGAGGTGTTGGTGGTGGTGAAGGTAGTGATGGTGTTAATAACAAAGGTAGTAGTGGTACTGGTGTTAGTGGTGACTGTAATGGTGATTGTGAAGGAAATAGTGGTGCTGGTGTTAGTGGTGACTGTAATGGTGGATGTGAAGGAAATAGTGGTGCTGGTGTTAGTGGTGACTGTAATGGTGGATGTGAAGGAAATAGTGGTGCTGGTGTTAGTGGTGACTGTAATGGTGGATGTGAAGGAAATAGTGGTGCTGGTGTTAGTGGTGACTGTAATGGTGGATGTGAAGGAAATAGTGGTGCTGGTGTTAGTGGTGACTGTAATGGTGGATGTGAAGGAAATAGTGGTGCTGGTGTTAGTGGTGACTGTAATGGTGGATGTGAAGGAAAAAGTGGTGCTGGTGTTAGTGGTGACTGTAATGGTGGATGTGAAGGAAATAGTGGTGCTGGTGTTAGTGGTGACTGTAATGGTGATTGTGAAGGAAATAGTGCTGCTGGTGTTAGTGGTGACTGTAATGGTGGATGTGAAGGAAATAGTGCTGCTGGTGTTAGTGGTGACTGTAATGGTGGATGTGAAGGAAATAGTGGTGCTGGTGTTAGTGGTGACTGTAATGGTGGATGTGAAGAAAATAGTGCTGCTGGTGTTAGTGGTGACTGTAATGGTGGATGTGAAGGAAATAGTGGTGCTGGTGTTAGTAGTGACTGTAATGGTGGATGTGAAGGAAATAGTGGTGCTGGTGTTAGTGGTGACTGTAATGGTGGATGTGAAGGAAATAGTGGTGCTGGTGTTAGTGGTGACTGTAATGGTGGATGTGAAGGAAAAAGTGGTGCTGGTAGTGATGGTCGTGAAGGAAGCGATGGTGCTGACGGTAGCAGTCGTAAAGGTAGTTATGGTGTTGTTGGCGGTGGTGGTAAAGGTATTGATGGTAGCGGTGGTGGTGAAGGTATTGATGGTAGCGGTGGTGGTGAAGGTATTGATGGTAGCGGTGGTGGTGAGGGTATTGATGGTAGCGGCCGTGGTGAAGGTAATGATGGTAGCAGTGGTGGTGAAGGTAGTGATAGTGGCAGTGGTGGTGAAGGTAGTGATGGTGCTGGTGGTGTTTGTGGTAAAGGTATTAATAGTGCTGGTGGTAGTGGTTATGGTAATGGTGGTGGTGGTGGTGAAGAAAATGAGGGTGCTGGGGGTGAAGAAGGTGATGGTGTTGTTGGTGGTGGTGGTGAAGGTGGCGGTGAAGGTAATAATGGTGGTGGTGGTGAAGGAAATGACGGTGCTGGTAGTTGTGGTGAAGGTAGTGAAGGTGCTGTTGGTGGTAGTTGTGAAGGATGTAATGGTGGTGTTGGTTGTTGTGGTGAAAGTAGTGATGGTGCTGGTGTTGGTAGTGGTAAAGGTAGTGATGGTGCAAGAATTTAAAGAAAAAAAAAAGTTAAGGCATTTTAGGAAAAGAAGAAATAAAACTTTGTTCAGCTCTACAAAACAAATTACAATGAATAAACGCGGACGTTGTGGTGAATAGCCTTCATCAGCAAACAATGCCAAAGGACCAAAACACAACACACACACATACACATTTACACTAAATATGAAAAATACACTAACTTTGAAATAACTACGTTAGAATATGTAGTCGACTAGGACAAAATAATATTAAACGACAGACTTATATTAAGAAGTTGATACTTATCAGGTCGCTTGTGACTCTCAGAGAGGATGTAACTAGTAGGTAAGTTGTACCCCATCAAGACATCACACAAGCGATAAACACCCAGTGACACATAGTGCCACCATGCGGATGAGGATCGCCCGTGGAGAGGTCCCAGAAACCCGGTTCAGCCATCAGGCTATATTTAGGGCCCGCGGCAAGAGCCAGAATGGTGCTTGAAAATAACAAAAACTTGCATCCCACAGGGGACGATAACTTGATAGAATGTAACTATTATAATTTCCTTTAACATTCTGTTAGAGAACGAGCTAATGAAAGCCTGGATGAGCTGAAAAACAGCCTGGAAGCAGCCTCTCATAGGTCAGGTTATGTGGGTGGTGGAGATGGTAAATCACAGCTCACGAGGACAGCTCATCCAAGAATTCTGACTTGGGAAGCGCCATTTGGCCCAGCTTTTGATTTTAGCAAATCCCTAATCAGTCACCTATTATGACATGCTTTTTAGGGGGGGGGGTGCGTCTGTCTTCCCCCCCCCCCACCCCCAATAGAATCCTCAGAAGCCAAAGCCACTCAGGAGAAAGTTTCTTCTCACAACTGGAACTATTGCACTATAAGAATAAGAAGAACTCCATAGGGAAGCATGTACAGCAGTGGTCCACCGATCATCAGTAGAGAGGTCCTTTGTTGACGATAGTTTCGGCCCATTAATTTCCCGGACAATCTTGGAACGTGGGCTGACCTGGGTCATGACGCCAGGCCTCGGACATCCCCTGCTGCACTTAATCGAACTTACAACAGGTATTGTGAGATTTATTGTCATATATTTATATACATAAATTATCCTACTACCTTCACGACCAGAGTGACAAGCTTACGGTTGGTTCATCGTCCAGACTTTGGCATTAGCAGAGAGACACTGGCAGACATTTATCGGTCACTTTGGCTTTGGGGGGGGGGCGGTAGGACTGACCCTCGAATTGGCCCTCATTCTGGCTTGGAGTGGCGCGGTGATTTATGTCACAGGCGTGAGGGGAAGTTAAGTCCAACATGATGTGTATAAGGAGATACTCCGTACGTCACTCGGGCGCCAGTCCTTTACTATCCTGGTTGTACGGAACCTCACGTAAGACCCCTACAGCACGTCCTCGTCGTGCGCCACGGATAATGTCTCAAATGAGCATTAACAGAGATGTCAGGGGATCTCGGAGTTCGGCGGCCCCCAGAGGTGATGTGTCCTTGTGGCTCTCATCAGCCCGCCCCCAAACGCTTGGGTGAAAAATGTTATCAAAACTCATTAGGAACATGAGTAAGTTTGCCAAACGTACAGCCAAAATTACAACCCTTGGTTAAAAGACTGCGGAGTAAAGAGAACACTGTTCACTGCACATCCTCTGTTAACACTCAGTGTCGTCGTCACCGCGCTGAGATACACCACAACAGCAACCATCCATAGGCTGGCCATCCTTGTACATCCTCGGTTAACCCTCAGTGTCGTCGTCACCGCGCTGGGGTACACCACAACAGCAACCATCCATTGGATGGCTAAGCCTAAATGTCCGACAAAACTAGATCATACGGATCAAAATCTGACCATCAAAATTTGCATTGAACTGAAAAAGACCGAATGTCCACACCCAAAGACCCCACTTGCCCGAGTGTTGGGACAAAACTGATAACGATATGTCTGATGCAGGATGTAAAATTCTGGCGGGCTAACGGCTCGTCAAAGAAATTCAACGTGCGAGGAAAAAAAAAAGAATGTACCTATCTGTGTGGTCACAAAAGTCCAAAACCCACGGGCTGCTCCCCGCTGACTTCCAGAGGGCGCAGACCCTGTCGAGCGGGAGGCCTGATACGGTTGTGAGTTAAGCAAGCATGTGCAGGACGTGACCCTGGGTGAGCCCAAAACCAGAGCGCCAGCCGGCTCTGCATGCATGGAAGCCTCCTTGGATGGCAGGGAATGCCCATTGAAACCAGTCATACAATTAATTAAAGAACAATAAATGGGATTGTTTGGCCTTCCTGACGAGAATGCCCTAGTACCAACTGTCACAGAGAACCACGCTGAAGAAATATAATAAACACAGAGCAGGGGAAAGACCACATAAGATATGGAGCGATATCATCAGGAGCAACCCAACAGAAATGAACACCAGCTTGTACAATGCATTGGAAAAAGCGCACAAACGAGCTTACATCTCCTCCCTGCACCTCGCTGTGGTAAATAGTGAAAGAGAAAAAGAAGTAGTGACAAAAAGGAAAAAACCACGGAACATTTTCACCAAGTGTCAACAGAAAAAAAGAGAGAGAGGCGAGGGGGTGATGTATATATATATATTCATTTTGTCGAAACTCATTAAACATATAATTACTCACGCCGGACTAAAGTTACTTAATAACCGTTTTGTGGTGCCCCACACAACTTGGCTACATTGTTGTGTTTTTCTTTTTATTATTAATTATTATTTAGAAGATACCTTAGTATGCGATTAGAAAATATAATAATATTAAAAATAATAATATATAGCACACTAATGTATCTATAAAATAATAAATATTTCAAATTTTAAAAAATTTAAAAAAGAAACTTGCTGCGAATTAATGAAACTATTTCAATTTGTGTATAACTCAACTCGATAAACACAGTGAACACAAACCGGCCCCTCGGAGTTGCACAAAAACGGGAATTTCCATTAACCTGGATGGCCTCATAAAAAGCTATAGGGGGCCATGGTTAATCCTACAGTCTGCAAACCTCGAGACAGAAAACTTTTTTTTTTCACTTGCTGCTAGTTACGCTTTTGTTGTTGCTGTCGTGGTTTGTTTTTCAATTTTTTTTTTTTAATTAATATTTGTATTTTTGTTATTGCTGCTACTGTCATTAATGTTGCTGTTCTTCTTGCTGTTTTTGCTATTGATTGGTCCTGTTGCTCTCGTTTGCTAACGTTGTAGTTATTGTTGCTGTTTATTTCCTGTTTGTTACTTCTGCTGCTGTTGCTAGTGCTATGCTGTTTTTATTGTTGCTGTTGGTTATGTTGCCATCAACGTTGTCTACAGGAATGGACTCCAGAACCGGCAAAATTAATAGAGAAAGATCAAGGGAAACGCAAGAAAAAAATAGCCCCCCCCCCCCCCCCCACTCCCACCCTCCCAGTTTTCAAATAATAAAGAATGCATTGTTTAATTTCCTTGTACATTTTTAAAAGTGTCAACCCTTTTCTCAATTTTTTTTTAATCAAGCGTCGTTTTAGCAGCGTCTTTTAACTCTACATGCTTGCTTTAGAAGAGGAATATATTTAGAATATCTGGCTGCTAAAATGTAAGTAAGAACTGCGAATTACATAAACTTTGCAGTGGGCTGCACTCTTGTTTGCCTGTTGTGTTTTCTTTTGTGGCTAAGATTATTTGCCTACACAGCTTTAAAACCGTCTCAATGTAAACAAATTTGTTAAAGGACAGAATTAAAATTATATTTGCGCATTTATATTGAGTTTCATCCTAAATCGCCCCCCCCCCCCCTTTTTCCGAGAAAAACAATACATTCATATTTACAATGTTAATAATTATTTGGTGTTAGTTAAGTAAACATATTTACGTCTGCGTGTAAGTACAGTGTAAGCTAGAACACCGCAGGTGTTTAAAAATAGACGTGTCCCTAAGTTATTGTGGCGAGTGTTTAAAGTAGACGTGTGCCTTGGTTATTATGGCGAGTGTTTGAAGTAGACGTGTGCCTGGGTTATTGTGGCGATTGTTTAAAGTAGACGTGTGCCTGGGTTATTGTGGCGAGTGTTTAAAGTAGACGTGTCCCTGGGTTATTGTGGCGAGTGTTTAAAGTAGACGTGTGCCTGGCTTATTTTGGCAAGTGTTTAAAGTAGACGTGTACGTTGGTTATTGTGGCGATTGTTTAAAGTAGACGTGTGCCTTGGTTATTGTGGCGAGTGTTTAAAGTAGACGTGTGCCTGGGTTATTGTGGCGAGTGTTTAAAGTAGACGTGTCCCTGGGTTATTGTGGCGAGTGTTTAAAGTAGACGTGTGCCTGGGTTATTGTGGCGAGTGTTTAAAGTAGACGTGTCCCTGAGTTATTGTGGCGAGTGTTTAAAGTAGACGTGTGCCTGAGTTATTGTGGTGAGTGTTTAAAGTAGACGTGTGCCTGAGTTATTGTGGCGAGTGTTTAAAGTAGACGTGTGCCTGGGTTATTATGGTGAGTGTTTAAAGTAGACGTGTGCCTGGGTTATTGTGGCGAGTGTTTAAAGTAGACGTGTGCCTGGGTTATTGTGGCGAGTGTTTAAAGTAGACGTGTGCTGGGTTATTGTGGCGAGTGTTTAAAGTAGACGTGTGCCTGGGTTATTGTGGCGAGTGTTTAAAGTAGACGTGTGCCTGGGTTATTGTGGCGAGTGTTTAAAGTAGACGTGTGCCTGGGTTATTGTGGCGAGTGTTTAAAGTAGACGTGTGCCTGGGTTATTGTGGCGAGTGTTTAAAGTAGACGTGTGCCTTGGTTATTGTGGCGAGTGTTTAAAGTAGACGTGTGCCTTGGTTATTGTGGCGAGTGTTTAAAGTAGACGTGTGCCTAGGTTATTGTGGCGAGTGTTTAAAGTAGACGTGTGCCTGGGTTATTGTGGCGAGTGTTTAAATTAGACGTGT